TTCCACACGAGCAAACAAAGCGAGAGGAGGTAAGATAATCGAAGAAATATTAATCGATTTGAGGTAATTTGGTTCCCTATATGTATGGTGCATATGTTTAATTATGAACTACATAGTTATATAAAATTATGATCTACCATATATACGTAAAATGGATATAATACATATCGGATTACGGAACGATGAATATCATTGGTATTCACTCTGACTGGATTATATAAATGCAGCTGGGATCATAAAACGTAACGTCACTGTTAAAACAAACTCAGAGTGACTGTATGAATCGAATCGCTTAACTGTGCGATATCAAAACGGCCATAATAAATTGGATATTTACATGTATAATACTGCAGCATGGCCACATAAACAATAAGTGAACGCACTAGACAATACGAACTGAATTTGTAACGCACAAACAAATCTCCACCACTACCACCTACCTCTACAATTAATATTCTACAGCAATACAAACACCACTGCAATTCCCGTAGATTTATCTATGCGTATAAGTGGATATGATTTGTGCATAAATATTTTGTCATCATCTGTAATATAATACGAAACCGAACCAGTTTCAGTCAACAGAAGCAATCAAATAGTTTCAGTAAACAGAAGCAGCCGAATAGTTTCAGTCTACAGAATCATTACAAAACGATGTTTCTGACACGCACGCACACACAAATTAATTATGTTTTGGTACACTTGTTTATTACATTGATCTGGTTACTTAATTTCTTTATTTATTTAGACCACTAGATACAAAAATAATGTAGCAACCGCCGACTGAATAAGTAACACTATGACGTGAATGAGTATTCAACGCATCAGTTTATAAATGAGGAATATGCAGATGAAAAGTGAATAAGATTTAGAAATGTTCGAATGCGTAACAAAAACAATGTAACAACCGCTGACTGAAGAAGTAATGTGATGAGACAACACTGTGACGTGAATAAGTTTACTAATAAGGAATATGCAGATGCAAAGTGAATAAGATTAAGAAATGTTTGATTGAATGTGTTGCTTGTTTCAATTCAGTAGTGTTTAAAAAATGAACGATTCCATGAGACACTCTCATTGCCAGTGAAACGCATGATAAAGATCGATGCGACCATTGAGCAGGCGTGGCGGCATAACCCTATCGAAAACGAGATGACGGACACCATAAAGAAACTTGTTTCGAAAGAATTTTTTGCTGATCACTAACCGTGAGCATGTTACTGAAGCATTTATAATTTATAATTGATTAACAAATACTTTTTCAACGTAATTTATTTGCTACAATAAAACTATTTCGGTTATCAAATGCATTCAAATCAGTTATCCACTCATTCCTAAACACCACCAATTCAGAACCTTCTTAATTCTAACCGAACATCATCTATTCATTAATGCATTAACACGTCATCATCCATCATTGACGCTTGAACGATAGTATTCCAACACCGCCATAGATTTGCAAGCAGCATTATGTTCGTATGTTAATAAGCATCGAAAATGTGATAGCATCGAAACAACAGTATGAATGAGGTGTTTCTTGAAACCTAATATTATAGCCACATCTTCTACTTCATTCCCAACATCGCTGGAGAGGCGAAATCCTTTATTAAACAGACATATTTTGAAATGAAACGAACTGCTTGAGAATAATAAATAGCGGACAATGAAAAAACCGAGTGTCAGACAGACACTTTGATGGGGAAATTATTTGAATGAACACGAAAAGCAATCAAAGATTACTCATTGAAGAGACGGTGAAATATTCGATATTGGATGTTAGATGTGGGGCATTCAATGTGATTGGAAGTATGAAAGATGTTTGATTGTGTGAAGAGAAGAGACGACTTCTTCTGAGTAATTACAAATTGTTGAGGTATGAACTGAGGTGATATTATAACATAACAATATAATGATGCATCCTTATGGACCGAGTCATGTTCGAATGGGCATTCACAAACGCAATTCTCTGTTAAAGGCGACCACTCCTTAAAAAGTCGTATATACGTAAGAGTAATAAATACGATTGTTAATTGACTTCTCAAATAATTCACTCTATTCCACATCAAATCAAAGTCAGCACCTAAGGTTGCTGTTCGATAACACCTCCAGATGAAACGACTCAATCCGTTCGGCAATCTCAACCAGCAATATCACCTTTCAAACATTCGCGTCTCTGCTATGCCACTAGAACACGATTGGTTTGAATCGATACCTCCTACATTCGCGAATTAAATATCCTGTCGACTTCAAAAACAATTTCTTTCAGATATTCTTCACCCGGCATCGTTTTTGTTTAAATGCGAAGTACAATTGTTGTTGAAATAACAAAACTTATCAGTCAATATTCGCTGAATACATAAACACAAAANATCCTGTTGACTTCAAAAACAATTTCTTTCAGATATTCTTCACCCGGCATCGTTTTTGTTTAAATGCGAAGTAAAATGAGCTAGTTTGTTGTTGAAATAACAAAACTTATCAGTCAATATTCGCTGAATACATAAACACAAAACGCAACTGAATTTATCGCAATGCTGACATTTCGTGAACAATAACAGTCAAATGAAGTGGAAAAATATTGATACTCCTCAAATGCACGCGTATTTAAGAAATGAATAAGAAAATGAATTCAGTAACAATGAATGAAACGGACAACGGTAATACATGAAGTAACACTCGATGAACTGCACACGAATGGATGCAAAAATACTACAAATGACTGTATTACAAAGTTGTTATTGTACATGATAGGCATTGGCATCGAAACGCTACGAAAATAATAAATCGGAAGGGTACGAGGTTCAGATACAAAAAAGGAGTGAACGTTTGATCGGGGAAACAGCTAATATCGTCATAAACATAAACATCGATAACAAATTTGAATAAACGAATATAAAAAATAAAACTGAAATATAATGTGAATGATGCAGAAATGTTCAAAAATGGTACAAATGAGTTCATGATTAAGTTGATATTGTAACATTTTACATCACTAGCACACTCAAGCAGTATAAATCAGGATGACTTGTACTAGGAGATAAAATAGCGAGTTGAAACGGAAACGAACACGTACGTAAAATATCAATTAACTTAGTCAACCACCCGGTATAAAAGTTCTCCGAGATAGTTTCAAGGCCAACACTTTCCTTCATTGGAGGTATTTCGTCAGCTGTTTTGACAGCAGCACAAAGAAAGAAGTAATAGCACCATCGACATCAGTAACACCTCGACACAACACAAGTTCAAATTTAGGAAAACAGTCAAGAAGCACTCAAGAAAGCGTTCAGTTGAAATCGTTTGTTTAAGGCAGTAATGAGCGTGAAATCTTATCAACACAACAAAATAAATCCACGAAAAAGCACGCATTCTTATGACGAATACAATTTACGCTCGATATCGACGGATAAATCAAATAAGGTTAAATGAGTGAAAAAGAAACATCATTATAATAGAATGAAACGAAACAGTAAATGAGAAGATAACAGGGAAAACGCATTCGCATTGTGTGAAACGCGAAGGTGAAGATATTCGATTAATCCTGGTCGTTCTTCTCTTCGCTGAGTAATCCTCTGATACGCCTATCCCTTTCGTCCCTCTTCACTTGCATCTTTCGCTCGTTTTCAAGGAACATTCGCGTTAACTCCTTCGATTTTTTGTATTGTTTAGACCAAACCTGAAACATTTTCTATCATTTCAATTGAAAAATGGCAAAGTTTGATTGACTGGGTAAGATAAATGGCTACGGCGTTGCAAAACTAACAAATTTGATCAAAATGAAAATTTCGCGCCACTGACCCAAAGCATTCATTTGAGAATTTGAGATGAAATTTATCATGAAGTTTGCAACCGTCATCAGATAAGAAGAATATGGATGAAAAGATGACCTCAAATTGTAGTTCGCATTTCTCAGTGCCAAGAGGGATGTTTTCCAAATGTTTTTGCGCTTTAGCTCTTCTGATCGATCGTAATTCTGATCTCAACGTAAACAAGTCTTTTCCTTCACCCATCTCAGCGACGATCGACTTCAGCTGCTCGAAATCCAACAATTTCTTGTTGATCATTTCGTCGTCTAAATAATACAACATCGAACACTATCGTAATTTTCATTTCCTAAACTCATTTCTGCTCGTGACAATTCAATTCGATTCCCAATCCATTAACCGCTTTCATTTTATTCATTCAATCTATATTCGTACAAGTTACGATCAACGGTGTACATAAGCCAACACAATTACTTATTTAGTAATTTCCCATCGAAACGGATCAAAATATCAAAAATCAGACTAATAAAATGCACGTGCGTACCATTCTTCATTTCTTCGTATTCTTGAATTTTCTTCTGCTTTGCTCGCTTCTCGTTACAGAATACCAAGATTTTCGCCAACCGTTCCTAATTTAAATGTCGTGTATGCAACAGACATTAACGTATAATTACAATCAAAAGAAGCAAACAGCAATAGATTTTTGCTTCAAAAACAAATACTTAAAAAAAATCAAATACCTCGGATTTTCGTTTGGCTTCACTGAAAACTGCAACGCGAAACAGGAAAACTGACACTTGCGCATCCGAACGAGCCTTTTCAAGCATACGAGATTCCTTGCGTGACAGCTGCAGGACGAAATAATTCCACGGTTCAAGTAGTAAAGCACAAATTTCACAAAATCGACTGCACCAACAACAAACAAAATCAAAAAAAAGACAGTATGACAATTCAATCAAGCTTACCGATCGATGACAAAGATTGATCAAATCTGATGGTGAAAGAGTTCTGCCACGACTAGACGTGTTCGCTTCGTCGAGATAATCCAAATAAGTGTCGAGACATCTGTAATTTTTGCAATGTGAATCTAATCATTTCTCAAAAGCCGTGGAATATCGACGAAATCATTCTTACTGTTTATGACACCGTAAATAACTGCATACGTTATTGCAATGTTTGAGATACCATCACATTGAGCTGTCAGAAATGAATGCTCGGTTTCTTCATTATTCAAAAGGTTATGATTCGAAAGCGAAAATACTCACAACTGAGCATCTCTCGCCACAAGTGATTTCAATGCAGTCAATATCGTTTTTTTCAATAAGGTGACGATTTCGCAATCATTCTCGCTTGAAGGGAAACAATCGAGCTTCAACAAATTCATATCGAAATCGAGTGCATCGAAGTTTTTTAGGAATGAATCCATCAGATGAATCACTTCAGTCGTATGCGAGTTCAACTGTGATTGATCACCAATTTTACTCCTTTCCATTTGTGATCCCATCTTCTGGGTTCCGTCACTTTGAAATGATTCATCACGTCTCACTGCAACAAATTATTATTTTTCTATGACTATGAACAATCACCTTTGTCACACACTAGAAGAACGATACGCTAAATCCCAGTGTTTCATATGAACATTGTTCCTGTAAATTCTGGATATTTCTTATCTTCGTGGATTCACTTATTTGTTTATCATTTGAATATTTTGTGAAGATCAAACATTTGCCAGGAAATTATAAATTTATAACTTATAATAATCTGATGATCAAGCCAGAATTGTTTGGTAAATTAAATGGTAATCAGAATAAACCTTGATTACTTCCAGCATCCAAGTCGAACGACATTGAATAAAGTGGTTTGTCAGGAACGACTATATCGCTAACTCTCAATGTATCCAGTGGTGGATGAGGCTTATCAAGACTGCGACGTAAACGTCGACGCGTCTGCTTCAGCTGTTTCGATACTTCTTCGGGAGTGTGCACTGGTGTTGCTGCAGATGTACGCAACGCTGCAGGCGTCTTTATGGGTTGTTCAGTCGTAGCAGAATGATTAAGTACGTTCTCGACGATATATGACCGATCAGTAATATTTCTAGATGATTCGTTAATACCAGGCTGACCAAACAATTTTACAGGACCGTCTAGACGAGTTTTCTTCTTTACCACAGCTAGCGGTGAACCAGCGATACGTGACAATCCCAAACGAGTTGGTGCTGGTGAAACATGAAGAGCCTTTAAATTGATTAATTCACCAAGAATGTAGAAAAGTTCATTTGTACATATCCTCAGATGAAAATTCTGTTGAATAATGGCAAACAAAATGATACTGTCTCTTTGAAGGTGATATTTCACAAAAAGTGCTTACCGCTATTTGCTTCGGCAATGCGTCGCTGATGTTAGACTTTCTATGATCCGAAGTTGCAGGTGTGCCATGAGGCGTTATTGCCGATTTATGGAATTGTTCGGCATTGCTGAGATTATGAAACTGAAATGAGACACTAAGAAGTCAAAAGAATTATTTGGAATGATTCATTCATTTATTAGAAATGAGTGGACCATTCCAAATAATTTCGCTTTAATTTTTAATGAATCAAAAATTTCGCTTTAATTTTAATTTCATTAAGAAAAACGCAAATTGGAGTGGAGTAATTTTCATGCTCATCGTATAGCCGTCATCAACAAGAGTCATTTGCGGATAAATATCGACAGTCACTTGGCAAGTTAATATGCTTTCGTCCTCCAGTTTATGCAGACAGCAAATTTACATTACATAGCGATAGATGGATGAAGATAACGAATCGTCAAAAACTTACTGTGAAATCTTCTGATTCATCGATAATACTTATTCCCGCATGCGATTCTTTCATGAAACTCATGCCTACATTCGTTCCCAATAAAGATGATTCGTCAAGATTTCGCTCGTCGACCTGTTTCGATTCATTAAACGATTCACTTCCTTTCGCAGCTGAAAGCATCCTGACTGAATAATAAGTAACTCCGATTTCAACATATCCGTACAGTTATAAATAAAGACAGTGTCATGCATCCAGAAATTTGAAAATGCAACACTGTAAGGACTGAGAGTGGATACCTTGGGGTATGTCTTCTGTTTGGTTATCGTCAACTGCTCCTTCTTCTTCTTCTTGTTCACTGCGCGCCGCCAATATGGCCGCCGTTGGCTCCATTGTTACTTCCAAATATTTTGTATTGATCTCAGCTGACACTTCCTTCAAAGCAGTAGTCATAATAAATACATATTTAATATTGAACAAATTTTCGAATATTTCTGAATTTAAACAACAAACGATCGGAATATTGCGAAAATGGGTTAAAACAGATCAAATGTTCATATCGACACTTTCGCACAACACATATCAAAACTTTAAAAATGCAAAATTGGAATAGGAAACAAAAATTAAACAACAGAAAACAAAATCACGGCTCGCAAATATTGCAATATTACGAGAAATGGGTGTAAAGGGATGAATACTGAGATTATGAGGATAATGAAAGATGAATTCTCGCTGATAAAGGGGGAACGACCGATTTGGATTGACATGTAAGTGGATGAAGATCTTAATACCGTAAAATTCGCTTTCGATTGTTCTGCTTGTCGGAACAATGCTTTTGTAGAATCAGCAATCGTGGTATCATTTACTGATTTATTTTCTTTCTCTGCATCAACCGCTCTTTTCACATCTGTTGTCGTTAATGTTGCTCCACTAATATCCATCGGTACTTCATCCAATTCATCACCATTGTCACCCTTCAATAACCATTTCTACGTGACTTAATGAAACATTCATCGTGTGGATATAACCCAACATTTGAGATTCAATTAGTGATAGTAAATGTCAAAATGAATTTTCCTCATAATTACTCGCAAAATGAACAACCAATTTGAAACCAACCGATTGTGGTAGCGGATTGAAAAGATTTGCGGTAAATTCACCCATCATGGTCATATTATCATCTCCAGCTGAAAACAAAGCAATGCTCGATCAAAACAGTAATGAATCATCCACTAGTTTATTTGAATAACTTGTATTCAGTTCTCATCAAGAATGTGCTTTGACGATGAGCTTGTTTGCTCAAGGCAGGCAATTATCCGGGGGCTGCTGTCCGGATACCCTCAACGACATCAATCAGGGAAACAAAATAAAGCAGATCTGTATACCTTCTGGATGCACACATATTTCATTTCGTAGCATTGGAGTTGATGCGGCAGTTGGAAAAAAATCAGCTGTATGGTCAAATCCTAAAGATGACAAGAATGAATTATATTTCAAGAACAGAAACAATATATTCGCATTGATATTGCACAACAAAACATCGCTGCAGAAAACAATAAAAATATTTCACTAACCAGCATTTACGGTTGAGTCCATGCCAGTGGTTACACAATGTCTGAAAATTTTATGAAGTGAAATATTCCCAATTTATTTTTCACTTATTGTATTGATGCATTCTAGTTCACTGATTTGGCATACCTTTTGCGATGATGATAAATGAACGAACAAGAATATAGCCACACTGAATGAAATTTTTTTCGAATTGATTATTTGCAGTTTTTTACTCGAGATTTTCATATGTTTTGAGGACAAGCGCATAAGTGTTTGTACATTACGAACATTTATAAGACTTCTCATAGATTATGAAATTATGTTTATGAGCAACTGAAACAAATAGCTGCTTTGAATCATCAAAATAAAAGAGAAACTCACGTCGAACCCAAGCCGTCCGAACTGCCAGTATCGCAAACTGAATGAGAATAAATTACTGATTTCTTGAAAAATTACATAATCACTATCAACACAAAACTGCAATAAACGCTTCCCATCTCAAGGTCTCTTCCTACCGTTAGGCTCAAATTCGAACCACANNAATGCATACACAGAAATTCTGGGAACAGAACTTACGTCTGACGGGTTCATCATGCGGTGACATCATAGCGTTACGAATTTCATCGTATTGCCTGAACTCATTTCATGAACAAAACTTTTCAATGAGTGAGAAACAGAAAAATTTTTTCGAAACAATCATGTCATGAATATTGTGGCAACAATCCACGAACTCTTTACAAGTTAAGAATGCACCAGTAGCCTATTTAAATACGAAATATTAGCACAAATACGGAATTTTTCGCACAATTAACGGCTCATTTAGACTCAAAACTGAATTTCGCTTTCTTACAATCTAATCTTACTTGTTAGAGAAAAACGAAAGAAAAAAAACAAATCAACTGAATAAGAGAATAACATTTTATATTTTAATGAGAATTTTGTTAGTAACGAAAAAACAGATTTCTCTCGCGCTGTGTGAAAAATAGGCAATATGAAGTAAATTTCTGAAAACCTACTTGACTGTTCGCACAGTGCTGAAACTCACTCGCCTTCTCGTGCATTCTTCCAAAGTTGCCGTTACAACAGTATTGGCATTCGATGATTGACTTTTCAATATCTGAACAAATACACCATTTAGACGTCATTAGAATATTACTATGCATAACCGAACCATCTAATCAGCCAAATTCAAATAGTTTAACTATTTGAGTAAGAGAATAACATTTTATTCTTCAATGAAGTTTATTAACGATGACAGCTCACTGTATGTGAACATTCCACGAGCTGTGTGCCACTAGAAACAAACTAATTGTAAGAGCGATGATTTCATCTGATAAAAATCTTTTAAAGATTGTTTCGTTGGCATACCGATGATCGTCGTTTATTGTTGTCCATTGTAGGATGTCAACAACCAACCGATTCGCTCTAAACGATATTCCACAAATGACACTCAAAACAAACCACTGAAAATCTCAAATCCTTAACATAACGCACAGATTATTCACAGTTTCAAGTGGAACCGATAGTGAGGTAGTGAAGAGCTGGACGTCAATGTTCACAAATAAAGTTTAAGTTTAACATTTGAAAAGAAGTTGCGTCCAACAATAAAGTAAAACCCGTACGAAACAACCATTAATAACACGACAGCAATGTGAATTTCAATTCAGCATCGCAATATTTGCATATACACTCAACATAAGAAAACGCTTAATGAATTTGAAGATATATTTTTGCCGCATATTCGTTCTCAGTACGCAATGCGAATTTTCTGTGCTCGACTCGGACACTACTACCGTATCCACTCAACATGTCGTGATTACAAGCATAATTCACGGCAGTACGATGATGCGTGTTCAAGAACTCCGAAAATATTTGTTCACTTCAAGTAAATGATGAGCGCACATACTTTCTTCTGTTTCCTCAGCTGAGCTACGAACGTTTCTCGGATAACATATGGCTCTATTCGTATGAAAATTCCATGTGTTCAAAACGGCAGTTATATAAGAAGTAATATCAAAATCACTCAAACTTTATCATCCATCAAAATAGTGAGACTTATTTTACCGTACATTGCTGAATAATATCGAAGAATCACGCTCTCATGTTGCTAAACTTAACTGTTCATTATTCAGGAAAGAAAAACTGATATCCAGCAAATGTAGTCATTTTATAATGTTCGTCAAGGAGAAAGCTTTTGATTGAGGATTCTAAGTGATGATATCTGATTGTTTTTGCAAAATACTGTTCATGTGTATCATCATCAGNTTGAATTAAAAAGAAACGCATATGAAAGCACAATTGATACAATTGATACGCTCAACACATTTAATTTCTAAGCATTCGAATCGCTCTGATGAGCAAATCGCTTTCTACCAACGAAGTTCTTAAGGACAATTTCAACAAAACTGCTGCATGAATAACATAAAGTATCTCAGCATGCATACATCGAAATGATCGACAATATCCGAACAATAAGCAAAACCCACACATAACAATTATTATTTCCTGAAACTGGAGAATTTGATGGCTGAGAGAAAAAGACATGCCGGCATGAAATCCTAAGAAGTTCTGCCTTTACGAGGAGATATAGCCATTTTCCTGAGCCTATGGGGTTACCACATTCAAGCCTACCGTACCCAGTAAAATATTGATGTTTATACACCATTCGATCCAGCAGAATCTCTGCATTCAGTCATAAAATTTATAATAAAATTCGGCCCTCCATATAGCTATTTTTTGAGGTTATGGCTATTTTATTAAAGCTATCTCAACTAGCGCAATGGTGCTCATTGAAATGCGTTGTATCACTAAATGTCAATAGACATTATAAATTAGAACAGAAATATAGGTTTGATGTATTCAAGCCAACCGTCTTCTCAGGTTTGCACGGAAACATATCAATATTTAAACATTGTTTGATTGGGCAGAATATCTTCTTTCTAATAATGAAATACTGGCTTGAAAATTTCCA